GCAAGCCCTCCCAGCGCAATACGTCTCCCCATCCCCAAACCCACTCCTTCCTCACTTACCTAGTTATGGCTGCATTCCCCTTAACTTCCTGGCTCTCATCATTCCACCCTCACTTTTTAAAAAAATTTATTTAAAAGGCAGTTACACAAAGGAGAGACAGGAAGATCTTCCATGCATTGGTTCACTCCCCAAAAGACCACAATGGCTAAAGGTGAGCCAACTGGAAGCCAGGAGCCAGGAACTTCTGCTGGGTCTCCCAAGTGGGTGCAGGGTCCTAAGGCATTGGGCCACCCTCCACTGCTGTCCTAGGCCATAAGGAGGGGGCTGGATGGGAAGTGGAGAAGCCAGGACACAACTGGTGCTGCACATGTAAACCAAGCCTACCATGCCAGTCCACCTTCCTACCATGCCAGCTGCACCTTCCCTACACTGCTTCACTCACAGTTCCCTATTTTTTGGCCTGTCTACTACTAACAGAAATTGTGAATTGGGACTTTTAATTTCACTTGCTAATCTTTGTCTAATTCCTTGAGGCACCACGGAAACAGGAGTCACAGATGAAGATGCAATCTAAAGCGTGAGACAGAAACAGCTTTGAACGAAGGGGCATCGAGTCAGACGTGAGACCTTCACAAGCAGCCACCAAATGCACAGGCAGGGAGGGGGAGGGCCGAGCCCGCGCCATTCCAAAACTAACCAGTGTTATTTACTCAACTGGAGCCCAATTTTCTCTCCATGGTCACCCATTTCCATTCATCTGTACACAGAAAAATAGAAAATTCGTGCTTTGAAGTTCTGCAGATGATAGGCAAAAAGAAATACAGAACTCACGATCACATTCAAAGAAAAGAGGAACTAAGACTGGAGAGGAGAATGACAATTGAAAAAAAGTTAGGACAAAATATATCACCAGTTTTAATTAATCCAGCAGGGCCTGGTGCCGTGGCCTAGCACCTAGTCCTCACATTGAACACGGTAAGATGCCATGTGAGCCCTGGTTCTAATTCCGGCAGCGCCGCTTCCCACCCAGCTCCCTGCTTGTGGCCTGGGAAAGCAGTTGAGGACAGCCGAAAGCCTTGGGACACTGCACCCGTGTGAGACCTGGGGAAAGTTCCTGGCTCCTGGCTTCAGATCAGCACAGCTCCAGGCATTGTGGCCACTTGGGGAGTGAATCATTGGATAGAAGATGTTCTTCTCTGTATATCTGCCTTTGCAATAAAAATAAATCTTTAAAAAAAATCCAACAACAAGCCAAAGGAAAGAAAAACATCCAGTGGAACATAACAGAAAGAGAATACTGAGTTTAGCTATATGTGAAATGATTCTATTACTGTAACAACAAGAACGACATTTTCTAAAGTCACCAAATTATTGGAAAAGGAATTATTTCCAGAATGAAAGAACTGTGTTTTTTTTTCAAAGACACAACAAGACACAACAAGTTAGATTATGCATTCATATAAAATAATTAGATCTGATACATTAATATTGTAAAAATCACCAAAACCGGGCCCGGCGGCGTGGCCTAGCGGCTAAAGTCCTTACCTTTAACGCGCCAGGATCCCATATGGGCGTCGGTACTAATCCTGGCAGCTCCACTTCCCATCCAGCTCCCTGCTTGTGGCCTGGGAAAGCAGTCGAGGACAGCCCAAAGCTTTGGGACCCTGCACCCGTGTGAGATACCCGGAAGAAGTTCCTGGATCCTGGCTTCGGATCGGCATAGCATTGGTCGTTGCGCTCACTTGGGGAGTGAATCATCGGATGGAAGATCTTCCTCTCTGTCTCTCCTCTTCTCTGTATATCTGCCTTTCCAATAAATAAATAAATCTTTCAAAAAATTCACCAAAACCAACACTCTGTTTAATTCAACAGCAGAAGTTAACTGGGAAACATGAAACATTCTTTCACATAATATTCTGCATTTCCCCCACAAGAGGACGCTTTGGGATAGAGACACAGTCTGACATAAGAACTGTTCCCCCCGAAGCTGGTTCAGATGCCCTCGGCACAGGCTCACATCCTGGTAGGGTCAACTCACTGATTCATTTAACTCCGTGACTAAACTTAGGTTATGTGCCAAATGCAGTGCACCCCCACTCCTGCACTGGGTCACAGCTCCATTTCATTATGAAAACCAGAGCTATATACAAAACGCTCCACCTGATCGTTTCTGGTTGATAAGGACAGCCATGTCCTCTTGTCCCCTTACAACAGCTGCCCTAAGGTCTCCATGAAACAAAGCTCACAGTGTCAGGCCACATACTTGAAATGCTGCATGAATTAAGAAAGCACCCAAGCGTCTGAAAAACAGAGATAAGTGGTCATCTGAGCCTGACTATTCTTCTCGCTCTACCGTGATAGGTCAAATTTAGCTGCTAAGCATTCATCCAGTAAACGTTTGCTAAGTTGTAATCCTGCCAGACACCAGGGAGAAAACAAGACCACAGGCCCCGCCCTCAGAGGAAGGCCTGTGCGGCAGAAAACACAGAACCAGGACTAATCAAACCCCATCACTGTCCGCGTAACACTGCACTGCCAAGATGCCGAGTTCACAGAAAAAAATGCCAAAAATGCGTTCTGTTCTACTTTGTGGGCAAGGCAGGAGTTCCAGGACGACTTTACAAGGGTGCACAAAAGGGAGTTTACTAAAAATGAATGAGAAAGCATTTGCCAGGCCAGAAGCAGAGGGGAAAATGACCTCACAATTTAGTATAAGGAATTACAGATATTTTAGTAAAGCCATTTCTTTTTATTTAATTATTTACTTATTTTTATTGGAAAGTCAGATATATAGAGAGGAGGAGAGACAGAGAGGAAGATCTTCCATCCGATGATTCACTCCCAAAGTGGCTGCAATGGCTGGTGCCAGGCCAATCCGAAGCCAGGAGCCAGGAACCTCCTAAAGGTTTCCCATGTGGGTGCAGGGTCCCAAGTTTTGGGCAGGAAGTTGGATGGGAAGTGGGGCAACCGGGATTAAAACTAGCGCCCATAAGGGATCCCGGTGGGTTCAAGCGAGGACTTTAGCTGCTAGGCCACAGCACCAGGCCCAAGCCATTTCCTTTTCATGTTGACAGACTCCGTAAGATGATGTTAGCACACTTAGACAATAAGCACACAATTGCTGAGTGACAGGACTGAGGTCAGAGTCCCACCCAGGCTCTAGTGTTTCCGGTCACTCTACTCTATTAAGAATAGTTACAGACCGTATAATCTTGCAAAAGAGAGCATTTTGAAGGAAAACAAACATTTGTATAGGGCAGCACTGCTCAAATCAGACACATTCTGATTCCAGAAATAAACCACACCCTCTGGTTTCACGTCATTCATCACCTGTACCTTTATTGATAGTTGTGATCCACAAGATACCAATTTATGCTTTAATCTTTAATAAAAAAAATCATCCCCCTCCAATATAAAAGTAAAAATTACTAAATTTCATCACATGTTGCATCACCGGGGTGAAGAGGAACAGACACTGCCATGGGAGTGGTGGGAGCAGTATCGTGAATGGCACGATGTACAGGACTCACCACTCACTGCAGCACTCTCAGCAACACCCCCAAACCAGACACATGTAAGCACTCCACCAAAAACTGGTCAAATACATCAAGGCAAATTAATAAGGCAGGGCAAGCAGCTGAGACAGGCATTTTCCTAAAACATCTGAGATGACGGTGACCCGGACGAGGGCACTGCCAAGTAAACAGAAGGTCACAGTCAGCAGGGAATGAAGGAGCTTGGGCAAGGGTTCTGGAGAGGACAGGAGGCGGACCAAGTGAGAACCTATGCAACATCCCTGCTCCTCGCTCAGGCACTCTTTCACAACAAATACATAAATCTGAAAGCATGAGTCTATGAATAATCTGCAAGTTTCACCTATAATTTATATACAATGCCTAGGTTCAAAATACAAAATTACTAAAAACTTTGTATTTAGTGAATACTAACAACTGTCAAACCATATATTTGATTGATTTACTGAAGAAAAATAAAAGCTAGTTAGGACAAGAGTTTTTGGTAAATCAGACTAGGATACTTCAGTCTATAAAGTAAATGAGGAAGAGTATTGAAGCCCAGAAACACTCTAGCACTTGCTAGAAATTGTGATTATTTCAGAATTATTACAACGCCTTCTGATTGTGGGTGTGGAAATTTACTGCCAAAGTGTATCTTAGATATCATGTTACTTCTACACCACAACTAAAACAGGATCTGGTGATGACATAAACATAGCAGCTGACCTTCAAGCCCTGGGAGCTTTACTCAGAGGAATCAAGAGTCCAGATGCTCCTTGAAGCAAGAGACCCTCTGTCAGGGCCGCCGTTGTGGCATTGAGGGTGAAGCCACCCTATGTAGGCACCAGTTCACGTCCCAGCTGCTCCTATTCAGCTCCCTGCTAAAGGTCTGGAAAAAGCAATGGAAGATGCCCAAGTACTTGGGCCCCTGCCCCCCAAGTGGGAGACCTGAAGCAAATTCGTGGCTCCTAGCTTCAAGTCTTGCTCACACCCAGCTGCTGCTGCAGAACTTGGAAAATCTCTCTCCCTCTAACTCTTTCAAATATTTTTTTAAAGACCTTTTATTATGTATCCTAGATTTAGAGCAAAATCTGTTCACCTACAGGGACTGGCAATAAAATATTACCTTTGGTTATTTACCCCAACAAATATTAGAAATTAAGGAGGCAGAAGTTTCAGAGAAAAGTTAACATATACACATATTCTTATAACAATCACAAAATATTAAGAGAAAATTAAGGTTTTAAATAAAAGAAATGATGACATGTTAATCATTGGGCTCAATAAAGGTCTGGAAATATAGTCAATCTAAACATCTCCACAATTTGTTAAACCTTTAAACGCACAATCTATTTCAAGATTAGATGATTCGGTCAACACTTATTCAATGACATATAAACCTGCACCACAGTCAATGTATTAGACAGGATAATTCCAACCAGTGAAAAGGCCCAAGGAAGCAAGCATCACGCAGCCGTCCTTTACCTGCAGCTCCTTGGAGACTCTCTCTAAGTGATCGGTTATCTTCTTGATCAGATCACTGTACATCTGTTCCGAGTGCTGCTGGCACACACACTTATACACACAACTGAAAACAAACAACAACCAAGTGAATGACAAAGCACTTAACCCAGGCCAGAGTTAAAGCACTATACTGACGCACAGCCACTGTTCAAATCATCAGTTCAGGCCTAAAAAGTGACTGGTTACAACTCTGAAATTAAAATTGACTCTCTCCCAATCAATGTTCAGGTTGAAAAGAGGAAAAACAAGGACAAATGATATCTTTGCCAAGAGTCGATTACATTTTTTAATCACTACTAGGTAATCTAACAGCGGGTGATAAATCTATAGTCTGAACATAGCAACAATTCAGCCAGGTGCTCTCCTTGCTTTTCTAATGAGCATCAGCATAAGAAGGTGTGTCACACAAAGTTGCCCACCCCATTCTGTTATTTACTCATTCCATTTACCAGGAACTGAGGAACAAAACAAACAGAGTTAGAACTATTTGTCCATATCGAATTTCTCATTTTTAAGTTGTTGGAATTTTGTGCAGTTTGCTCACAGGTAACACAGAGTAGCAAATTCTGAAAGATAAAATTGATATAAATCTAAGAAATCTGAGCCAGGTAAGAGTTGCAAATAGTGACTTAAGGAATACCCAAAGCAAAGTTTTAAAATACAGATTCTAAATGAATAACTGAATACTTAAAAATTGTATTCATATAAAACAGTATTTTTGAAGACTAGTGAGATTTCTTTAAAACTCAGTGTTAAGGTATTTTCTTTTTCTATTAGAAAATATTAAGATAAACATTTATTTGATGAACAGATGATTTCACTCATTTGATTCATAAGTGAAATATACTAAAAAATATGTATGTGAATATATACAGCACATGTGTATTTCAGATACACATTCAGATATTATATGTGTACACACATGCACATTTATATACTTGAGTTTGTCAGGCTGAATTTCTGTCAAGGATTTTAAAAATGAGTTGGCAAAATGGGACTGAATTATTTATCAGATTTGATATATAAATTCTGTGTATCACTAAACGTTTAAAAAAGTCAAATGCTATGTGGTTTAGTTGGCTGGTATTACATATCTTAAGACTTGAGTTTACACACACCAAATTACCTGTTTAAATGCTGCTCATTTGTTACTTTCACAAGAAGCATGACTATGATAATAATGATACAGATTCTACCAATCTGTTTCACTACTTTTTCATCGAAACTGGGTGCTTGGTATTCTACTGTGACTCATAAAGTACTTGTGGAAGGCAAGGATGAAGAGTGGATCACATGACATTCCAAACCACTGCACTGTTTACACTTTCTTTTAAAACACTAAATATAAAAGAAAATCGCAGTAGTTTGTTGCTTTTATATATACACACACATATTGTTTAAAAAGGTATATTTTGGTTTTGTTAAACCCTTATTCACTTTCCTACAGTGAACTTTTAACTTGATTTAATAGAAACATTGATTTGGGGAAAAAAAACTGTGTGTCAAGAAGCAGCAACAGGTTAACCTAGAGTCTCCCTCTGAGACAATCCATGTACCCCTGCACCTAGCTGACCTCCACAGTGTCTGCCTCCTGGGCGAGATGAGTGCCAAGATGAGGCGAGGATCTCAGACTGGTTGACTCTATCATGACCTGGAAATCACTCCACTCAAAAGGTATAAGGCACACCTCCAATCAACACACAGAGGGTACAGGCATACACAGCCTCACTAACAACACAGCTGTGCTGTTAGTTACACATCCGTGCATCTTCCTGGCCACGCCCACTCAGTCCCGACTTACCTGTATATCTGCTCATAGGAGATGGGGATGTAGTCGCCCGGACTCTGGGTTAACAGCTGATCTATGGCACCATCCAACTTGGGCCAGTATGTGCTCTTGTAATCTTCAATAGTTATAACATTCATCACTGAAAGTCAAAGGAGAAACAAACATCACGAGGTGCCACACAGAAAGCACCACACATCACAGCATTCTTGCAGCCTGACTCCACAGTGACATCCATATCTAATTATCCCACTTCAAATTAAGAAACACCAGCTTCCCACCCATGCAGACCCTGGTACACCCTGTACAAGAGCTGGCCTGTGTGCTGAGCCCCCGCCAGCCAGCCCTGACAATGTGGGCATCTGGAGCGTGAGGCAGGGATGGATGGGAGCTCTGTTTCTGTCTGCTTCTCAGAAAAACACGAAAAAATGTATTTTAAACTTTGTGAAAAGCCATCTGGTTAGACATGCTAAACAGCCATTAATCGTGAGTTTAAAAGGAATTATTATGAATCTGCCCATCTTCCAAAGTCACAATTAAAGCAGCAAATATCACTGGTTTCCATCCCAGGTTTGTTTTTTTTTTTAAAGGTTCTGTCACCATCATCATTCTCAAACATGCTCTGTCCCCCAAACACACAGACCCTATGGTCAACCAGTGAGCCACAGCCAAGTTCTAGGAAACTGAATGCCATGAGCAATCACCGTAGACATCCTTGGGAAAAGGTACATTAACAAAGGACTATGGGGAAATGCTATAGGCACGAGAGTGACAACACTCATGCCGAGACCCGTGGCAGCACCGGCACCTCTGAGACCCAACCAGAGCTGCTCCATCTGATTCTCCCTTTCTTCAACTTGCTGAGCTCCCAAAAGCCACTGTCTGCAACCTTCCATCGAAGGCCTACCCTACTGTGCTGGACAGGCTCTTACTGCTTCACCGGCACAGGCTCCCAGAACAGTTACAACAGCTGCTCCTAACCATCAGGAGTGACAGACACTCCACAAGAGAAATATACCAATGTTAAGAAAGGGACACCCATGGACAAACTATATCATCAGGAGCAATCACCCCAGAAGATGGGAGCCAACAACTGAGGAGTCGAGATGAGTGTGACTTCTCAAAAGAGTATATAGCTAGGTCTCGGCACAGGCACCAGGCAAAACAGCGCTTTTCCCAGCAACCTCCGCTTACAGCACTATTTCCAAACCTCAGCCATTCAGACCCATGTCTTTTCCCTGTGTACCATCAGCATCATTTCTAGTTTAGTTTTGCTTTTACTTACAATTATTTTAATGGTTATTTGAGGAATGGGGTACCAATTCATACAATATGGTATAATTTTAAATGCATTGTGCTAAGGAAAAGACTGCCAGACCCAAAGGTTGTAAGATAGCCACAAAAGCAGAACCACGGGGGTGAGAACTGCAGCTGCTAGGAGCTGAAAGGCTGTACGGGGACTGTATGGGACATTCCAGTGCAATGGAGCGCTCTGTGGGGACCTTTGGGAGTGAATATAAAACATCATACACTTCTCAACACAACCGTACTGCATTAAGTAAATCAATGCATGCAAAATTTTTTAAAAGCAGCCAGCCTGTGGTGGTAAAGATAGAATGCAATCTATGAGACATAAACCTGATTACAATGAATCACACAGCCCCCACTGAAGAGTATGAGAAGGAAAATCAGAAAGAAATGTTCATGGACACACACGTGTGCAAACACATGAGGCAGCAAACAAGAGGCTAGGTGACACAGGGCCTTACAGGACGCTACATTCACTCTGCTTTACTCTGAGCCCTGGAGGCCTCAGGAAGGTTCTGAGCAGAGTAAGTACTCTGCTTGGGCTGCACATGCAAACTTCCAGCTGCTGGACAGAGAACAAACTGTGTGAGGAGAGGGGAGCTGACGGCAGGACTGGGCCAGGTGGTGGTCCTGAGGATGACAAGGAGAAGGCAGATTCTGAAATGCTTTTATTTTTATTGGAAAGGTAGAACTACAGAGAGGGAACACACAGTGAGAAAGAAAGAGAGATCTTCCATCCACTGGTTCATTTCCCAAATGGCAGCAAGTAAATCAGTCTGAAACCAGGAGCCTAGAGCTTCTTCCAGGTCTCCCTCATTGGTGCAGTGGCTCAAGCACTACTCTGTCCTGTGCAGGACACTAGCAGGGAGCTAGACAGGAAGTGGTGTGGCTGGGACTCAAACTGGTCCCCATATGGGATGCTGGCACTGCAGGTGGAAGCTTAGCTTGCTACACCCCGGTGCCAGTCCCAGATCCTGAAATGTTTACAGGTAAAACCAACAAGATTTCCTGATGGGTTACATATAAAAATGCAGAAACGTGTCAAATTTCACTCCAAAGTTTTTGGCCCAAGCACCAGAGGATGGAGCTGTCACGCACAAGGATGAAAAAGACTACAGGGAAAGCCTGTTTTGTCTGAAGTAGAGGAGACCATGTGGGTGCCCTGGCTGTTCAGCCTGTTCACTCCTGGGAGCACCGAGCCTCAGGGATCTGACCGCAGGATGATCAAGGCCACACAGGACTCAGGATGACAACCACAGAGGCTCTTCCTGCCCTTATGGGAGACAGTTCTGAAACACTGTCCAGTGCAACTGAGCTCCACAAGGGCCTCCCAGGGCCCTTACCTTCCCTGTCTCACTTCCTCAAACAGCCCTGAGGGTACTTCCTGGTTCCCTCAGCACTTAAAAACCACCTGTGCTTAAAAGGCAGGGGGGAGGGTTACAACCTATTAAAAACACAAAGTCTATCATTTGCACCAAGAAGAAAGCATTACCAAAACAATTACAGTATTATGAAATACTAGCTAACATTAAGCAGTGCTCAGCCGCCTGATAAAGGTACAAAGTCTGAAGGCTGTTTTGCCCAGTTGAAAAGAGATTTGGCAGATGTCGATAAATGTTACAAACAATAAGTATGCTCCAAAATATATATGTCATCAAAGGAGCCAAAGACAATTGAAAAAGAAACAGCAAACTCACAGTATGATTCTCTGTTCTGCATCCCATAAGCCGCATCCAAGCTGGGACTGCAAAGAGGTAAGTGAAACGCTAAAGAAAGCTGCAGGTGCAGAGAGGTCAGGAATTAGCATGCAGTCCCATCGCTTAGCCACCTGTGGAGGTGACTGGGCGGGGCAGCGAAGCACTGCTCCTCCTTTAGCACAGGCTTCCAGTCTTGGCAAGTCCTCAGTCAAAGGAGGAGACCTTCAGGTCTGCAGCAGCAAGGACAGCATGCAGACTCCCACCGGGGCAATGACTGCTGGTGTCCCCAAGATCCCACACACAAGCTTTAGAGCAGGTGCTTAGCACAGCAGTTAAGACATCACTAGAGATGCCTGAAGCCTTAGCGCATGGGTTCATTTCTGATTCGAGCTTCCAGCTAATTTGTACCTCTTGGAAGAGAGGCAGCAGGTGACAGCTCAAAATGTCCCTTGCATGGGAGACCTTACTGAGTTTCTGGCTTCAGCCTGGACCAGAGAAGTACTTGTGGACCTTCAGAAAAGAACCAGCAGATGGAAGATTGTCCATCTCCTCCATCTCTTTTCCCCTCCCCACCCGTGCCTTTCAAATAAAAACAAAGGTTTTAAAAGTTAATGTTCCACTTTAAAATACCTTAACAGGGCCTGGCAGCATGGCCTAGTGACTAAAGTCCTTGCCTTGAACGTGCCAGGATCTCATATCGGTGCTGGTTCTAGTCCTGGCAGCTCTACTTTCCATCCAGCTCCCTGCTTGTGACCTGGGAAAGCAGTAGAGGACAGCCCCAAAGCCTTGGGATCCTGCACCCACGTGGGAGACCCAGAAGGGAAGAAGTTCCTGGCTCCTGGCTTCAGATTGGTGCAGCACCCATTGTTGCGGTCAGTTGGGGAGTGAATCATCGGACGGAAGATCTTCCTCACTTTCTATCCTCCTCTCTGTATATCTTTTTCTCCAATAAAAATAAAATAAATCTTTTAAAAAAAATACCTATAACATTTTTTAAAACGTGAAAAAATCATGAGTAACAGTAGAGAAGTTTAAGAACCATTTGTTTACATACACAGAACCAACTGAGTTGTAGCCGCACGCTAGCTGCCCCACTCCCCATCCAGCTCCATGTGTGGCCTGCAAAAGCACTGGAGAATGTCCCAAAGCCTCGGACCTGCCACCATGTGGCAGAACAGGAAGAAGGTTCTGGCTCTAGACTGGCTCAGCTCTGGCCGCTGTGGCCACTTGGGGAGTGAACCAGTGGATGGAAGACTTGTTTGTTCTTCTCTCTGTAAATCTGTTTTTCCAATAAAAATAAATCTTTTTGAAAAGGAGACCTGAAATGTTTCATCATTTGACCAATATTTATCAAACTACTGTTTCTTGATTTCAGTAGTTAGTATTAAATGTACATCAGAAACCAGACCACCAAGAGGGGAAACCCCAGCTCCACGAGCAGCACCAGCCCTTCTTCATGCATAGTCTAGGTGCTTAAAAATACATGCAGATTTCCAGTGAGCTAAAACATTCTTTAAATTCTAACTTTTGACAGTTAAATAATTTTTCTATATATAATGTAGCAAACCAAAATTAACACATGGAACCTAAGTGAAAATGACATTACAATTACTGAATTTTATTTAGTAACTCCCTAGTATGAAAATAATGGGCTAATTTTCAAGGCACTACACATGCTTCCCTGGGCAAGGCAAGCAGCAGAAATGGGGAAAGCAGGCCTGGTGGAACTTCAAGAAACAAGACAGCAGAACGCCTCCTGGAGACATTCAGGTGGAAAACATCTACTAATCTTTATGTAAGCCATCATGCCACCAGGCTCAGGCTTACACATATCTGTAACACAACAAGCTCACACAACGTAAATCCTACTGATAAAGTGGTCTGACTTCTACTATAATAAAAAGGAAGCCAAGACTAAAACACACAGGGCCCGGCACCATGGCCTAGGAGCAAAAGTCCTTGCTTTGCATGTGCCGGGCGCATATGGGCACCGGTTCTAATCCTGGCAGCTCCACTTCCCTTCCAGCTCCCCCGCTTGTGGCCTGGGAAAACAGTCGAAGACGGCCCAAAGCTTTGGGACCCTGCTCCCGTGTGGGATACCCAGAAGAAGTTCCTGGCTCCTGGCTTCGGATTGGCATAGCATCGGCCGTTGCACTCACCTGGGGAGTGAATCATCGGACAGAAGATCCTCTCTGTCTCTCCTTCTCACTGTATATCTGACCTTCCAATAAAAATAAAATAAATCTTTAAAAAAAAGACTAAAACACACAGAATAGTGAATATTCAAGGTTTACAAAATATTACTAATTGCTAGTAAATAGGAAAACTACTGCAGATCCATAATTCGTACCAGGAAGGGATAAGCAATCAAAATCAGCATCAAAACATGACAGGTGTTTATTGCCGACATCCCTCTAGTCCGACGGAAGTCCCACAGTTCTGAGCTGCAGCTCTCAGCGCTGCGAGAGCCGTGCGAGGCACATAATAACGTCTGTAAGGGGAATGACTTCCTGAGTCCTAACAAGCGCCTAAAAGACAATCAGCAGCAAACACAGGCTAGTTGTTTCAAACTTTAAATTATATATGATTTCACACAAGCTAAAGCAAATCAGGTTTGCCTTACAAAATAATCCTTGAGGTTTTTGGCCAAATGATTTGTTTGGTAAGGGAGGATGGAGTCAGACATTACAGCAGGCATTCATTTACACTCAACATGCCCTGAAAGCCCATTACTACCTTCCGCCTGCTCCTCTCCCATCACGAGCAGCCAGGGCAGCCGTCCCAGTGCACACCGCCAGGCCCAGCCCCAGGCGCACTGGGTTCAAAGCAGCGCCCAGGACTCTTGAATAAGCCTTCCCCAAGTGACTGCCAACCTTCTGCAAGTGGGGACCACTGCTAATGGTACAGATACTCATATCAAAGAAAATGTTACAAGGCTGGCTAGGAATTGTTTAGTAGTTAAAAATTTCTATAATTATATTCTTCTAGACTCCTCCTCCTATATAATAAGCCATCATAATTTAGAATAAACTAAGATTACAATAGCAATTATAAAACAAATGAAGGCTAATTTAGCAGGCTCAATTGTGTCTTAAATGTAAGAACATTTTAGTTAAATTGTAACTAATGACTAGACAATCTGGAAGAAGGGCACAGGAGAAAAGAGCCGCTGGCTCTCTAACCCCAGGCAGTGTTACTAGAGGAGGACAACTCCTCCTTACCGCGCTGTGCCCAGCCAGGAAATCTATGTTGTCCAAACATGAGCGCTGGGCAGAATGTTCTGGACCCGTTAGCACAAGGAGATGGCTAAATTCTTTCAAGTACTACAGAGAAAGAAGCTGAAGGCGAACAACAGCACCTGCGGGACAGGAGGGAAGCCCTGGGTGATGCAGAAACGGAATGGTCACAGCAGAGCAGCAGCAGCCGAACACAGCTGTGGACTCCAAAAACAAACGAGAGAGGGATGACAAAAAGAAAACTCCCAGGGTGCACACTGGGTCTAGTGGTTAATACACTGAGTGCAATGTTCGCAGCTCAGAGTACTGCGGTTCAAGTCTCAGCTGCGCCTCCAATCCCACCTTCCTGTTGATGCAGACCCTGAGGGACAGCAGGGGACAGCTGCCACTCCCATGGGAGCCCTGAACACAGTTCTTCTGCAGACATCCAAAGGGTGATCTAGCAGAAGGGAAAGCTCACTCTTGCATGCTCTCTCTCTAAGGGAAAACTCACTCTTTCTCTTTCTCTCTCTGCCTCGCAAATAAAAATAAATAAAAGGGAAAAGCCTTATAAATAATGAAAAACTTTACAGAGGAAAACTATCACACATTTTCTCAAAAGGAAGATAACTCGATAGTAGCAAAGGAGACAGCAATGCACAGCTGCTAAGAGAACTGACTAGTTAAAAAAAAAGTTGACAAATAGTTTTAAATCTTATTCTTTAATTGAAGAAAAGAACAAAACCTGCATCACCTCTCCTGGTACATTCTGACTTGCCAACTGAAATGGATAGTGAATGCTAACTCCCAATAAAGGGTAGTGAATGCTAACTCCCAATAAAGCAACTGTTGGCAAGCAGGCCAAAGCCTGTGAAAAGCTGTGTGCTTTTGGTGGGTGTTGGGGGAGTTTCTAGCCTTCCAGGTTCATGGTTTCCACAACTCAAATGAAACATTACGAGTGCAATCTCTATCTGCTGGTCACCATGAGGTCACCTTCCAGCATCAGAACAATCTGGTAAATAACTAAACACGCTGGTCTTGTTTTGATTACGTTCTCATTAACTCATTCTTCAAGGGTTTATGTTCTCCACCCTCTTGGCTTGCAACATACCAACTATGATTTGCTTGGCCTTGCCTCAAAAGCAGCACACTGCAACTCAAGGCAATGCACTGCCTGGACAGCCACACACATTCAACTAGTGGAAACGTAATACAAAAGTTAAAACTTCCTTCGTATCTATTACTTAACAAAACAAAACAAACAATTCCAAACCTGACTGCAGCGGTCTACTGGCGAGATTTCTCTGTTCCTTGAAATATTTACTGGCACCCCTTTCACAAATTAGAAACAATTTTAAAATAAGCAATAACAGTCATTCTCAGAACTGCCAAATGAAAAAATAAAACATCTTTACCAAATGATTTTCATGTTTTTAATTTTGCATATCACAAAATTCAAGTTATTCAAAACTCAAGCTAAATAGTATTGGCTCAACTGAGATTACACAGGTATAAACCATACTAACTGCAAGTCTGTAATCATTTTTAAATCTTCTGATAGCTTCCAAGATGTGAAGACAACCATCTCTGTTGGCATTAAGTCCGTGAAGCAGTGGAGGGAGGGAAGCTGCTGAGCTGATATCAACAATGCATCAACTACTGGCCCTACGAGACTGAGAAGTTCAGGACTTAATGACAGCACGGAACAGCCGTCACAGGCACTTGGAATGCACAGAAGTAGGTGGGTGCATAAAGTCTGTAGATTTAACAATAAAAGAGAGGAGACAGAGCAAAGTATTTAGCTATAGAAAAGTGAAAGACAAAGGCTTAGGATTTAGAGACTTGGCATATGAGAGGTAGGAGGCATATGACTGGCGAACAACAGAAGTCAAAATTCAACACAAGACAACAAACGGGACACGCTGTGGTTTGGGACACAGACATCCCACATCAGAGGATTTGTCCTGCTCTCTTCCCAAAAACAGCTTTCTGCTAATGCACACCCTTGGAGGCAACAAGTGATGGCCAATGGGTCCGTGGAACCCTCAAGAGACCCGGATGGAATTCCAGTCCTAGCCCAGCACTGACACCTCTGGGTATTTGGAAACAGAGTGGAGGTAGTGTGGAAGGGAGCAGTTTTCTGTCAACTTCACAAATAAACTCATTTAAAAAATTGCTCAAACATCTATCCTTGTTCCTTCTAATTCCAGAATGTTAACAGCCAAAGGAAACACACTTCACATCTATTCCACTTACCCACCCCCTCACTCTCTCAGATGAAGATCCTTCTCAGGGAAGCTCATCAGTGCAGGAGAGATGCCCGCGTCCTAACCAGCCTGGACGGAATCCTAACACTAAGCCCGCAAGCTCCGTCCGAACACGAGCGGCCAGCCAGCCCTTCCACCACCAGGACTCACACTCTCAACCCCAAGTGAGCTAAACAATACCTGAGAGGCCCAAGCAGACAATTCCGGGAC